GAGCTGCAGATCTACGCGAGTGTCCCCAAACGTTTTTAAATGCACCGTAGCTTGTAAGTGCCCAGCCGTGCTCTGATGTTTCCTTGCTGCCTTGGTAAAACAACTTAAATTGGTAAATCCAGTGTGGCTCCAAACACCAAATCGGTCAGTTGCAAGCAATAGGCATTCCCAGCAGTACAATTTGCAGCGTTTGTCAGAGGCTGTGAGCCACGGGTACCGTTCATAATTGCTCGTCTAAAAATGACGGACAAACCATTTTCCTTGCTGGGACAGGCTAACTAGCGCAGGAGTTGGGCGACCTCTTTGCACAATATCCAGCTTTTCGTGGAAGGCCCATCTTGCAAATTGTGTGGAAAGTAGTTCTGCAACAAGATCAACGTCTTCTCCTTCGGCCATTTTGAGTTAAAATGCGAGTGATAGCTCTAGCAGATGCTAATCCAATCTTTTTTTTTTTTTTGAAATCTTTATTGAACAAGTCAGGATACAATTCTCAGCAAACAGAAAAGGCGCTAATCCAATCACCGAACGCGCACGGCCAGTCTCGACGTAAGGCCTTCTAGCTAGCCCTAGTACGCAGACGAGAACAAGTCAGGATACAGGATACAGATCACGAGTCTGGCTATTGAAACCTGACTGTGCCCGTTCATTTACAGCGCACAGGGGCCTGCTCTGTTTACGGTAATCTGACGGCCCCGAGCAAGTTTAATTTACCTGGCAACACAAGCTAGCTGAAATATGATTCGTTAAAAACTCTACCAAAATAAATAAGTTATTTATCGAGTGGCTTTCAATGCTATTTAAAATAACATTGAAAGCCACTCGACTCAGTGGAAATAATATGACGTAAAGAATACAGAGAATAATTTTGTTAACATATTTATGAAAATAAAATAACAAATATATGTTATTCTCAGAAAAGTAAATTTACTTTTCTTTGAATGTTTAGGCCAGCAGAGAAGGCCTTGCTGGCCCTGAGGGTCCGCCACTGTTTTTTTTATTGTTGTACATCTGATATTTGCTCCATGTACAGCACTTTGTATACAGCGATGATTGTTTTAAAGTGCTCTCTAAATACAGTTGAGTTGAGTTGAGTTGAGTTGAGTTGAGACATTTTTCTGACCTGGCAGTTTTTTTGTTAAAGAGCATTTCACTTGCTTATAGCAATTGTATTGTTGAGATTTTATTGTAATTTCTGAGTAAAATCTGAAAGTAAAAAACACCATATCGCTACAGGTGTGTAAGCAGTGCACACTAGTTTCCAGACATTAGTATTTTATAGGCTAGTGGCTCAATCGCCCCATATGTGTCTCTAATCTAATTTTTAATTATTGTCTCTTAACTTATCACGGGATAAATAGAGCTAACCAGTCAGAGACTGTTGAGCACAGGTGTCAAACTCTTGTGCTAAAGCGCCACTCTCCTGCATGTTTTAGATGATTCCCTCCTCCAACATACTTGATTCAAATGATCAGCTCATCAGCAAGCCCTGCAGGAGCCTGATAACGATCTTGATCATTTCAATCAGGTGTGTTGGAGGATGGCAACATCTAAATTTAGATTCTAAAACATGCAGCATAGTGGCCCTTGAAACCTGTGTTGCAGAAGTCATGGCCGAGGGATGTATCATGAGCATCGCCGTTCACAGGCGCTCTCAGAAAGAAGACTATTACAGTTTCTTCGATTTTTTTTTTTAATCTAGGTTAGCAACGAAAGATTAAAAAAGAAAAGGAATATCTAAGGGTGCTCTTTGAGGTCGGGCGGCTGCATATGGACTACTGCATATGGACGACTGCATACGACTGCAAGCGGCGTGATGATCAGGTCATCACCAAAGATGATCACCTCTCATCTTTTAAATGATTGCTCATTTAAAAAAAACAACAACATCGTACTGGTAACATTTCTTTTTTGGCAACACTTTACCATAGTTAAGTCACATTACCGAGGCGTTGCACAGTACAGTAATCCCTCGTTTATCGTGAGGGTTGCGTTCCAAAAAGAACCCGTGATAAGTGAAATCCATGAAGTAGGATTTATAAAAAAAAGCAAAAAAATGTTAGAAGGATGAAATTTCAAATGTGCTGTATGTTTCACATACAGCACATTTGACAATAAAGTTGTATGTGGTACTTGATAGTCAGCTTTAGTTTTTTACAGTTATTATACAATACTGAACTATGTATACAATGCAGAGGCGATTGCTCTAAGACTGCAAGGGAAGCTCAGCTTCCCCTAAAATATCAAAAAGTAAGTGATCAAATATATGTGTGTACGTACAATTGTGTGGACATGTCATTGACTAAATATGCGCTACAACGCGCTCAACTTTTGTTCCGAATCAGCTTCTTACTGATTACGACGCGAATCTCTTCTTATTCATTCCCGCAGCTTCACCGTGCTTTAAACTGTGTGGACGCTGAGCGTCGACCGCGCGAATGCTGGGCATCTAGAGAGTTCAGTGTAGGTTGTCCCAATGCATTGAAACGAGACAGTCATTGGATAAATGCTGGTTTTGTCCTGCCCATCGGACACTCAGCGTCTCTGGGAGTCAATAGACAGTGGGCGTTTATAGGTTGGCCAGGAAGCTCAGCTTTCTGCATGATGATTGGATGATCTGTCTGAGGCTGAATCTCTTTTGATTGACAGCGAAATGAGCCAATCACCGCTCTTATGGTGAAGGCAACCTTGTCATTTTTTTGAAAAGGAACGGAGAGTAGAATTCACGTACTGTATAAATAAACGGACACATTTTATGATGTAGGCCGAAATTGAGCTTCCCCTCCTTGACAGACCAGCATCCGCCACTGATACAATGAAACCAAAGACCAAAAATTTGCAAAGGTAAATTTGGCAAGCTGTACAGAGACGAGGTGCGGAGACTGTTCACGTCAGTCAGTGCCTTAGCCAATCAGGATGCAGAATGCAATTCACTGTTTAAATGCATTAAAAAAACTGCACAAAAGAAATCTGCGAAACAGCGAAGCCACGGAAAGTGAACCGCGTTAGAGCGAGGGATCACTGTCTTGCATTAGTGAGCTATGGTGTTTCTTTTAGCAGGGAAATGGGGTGGGGGCAGTTGTGGCATGACGTGAAGCTACATTCAGATCTTGTTGGCAGGTTCAAGTCTATGTACTCCAGTACTCATGTTCTAATCATACGTGCTCTAGATTTTGCAGTACAGTCATGCCTGAGTTACGCATTTGTTCCCTTGATTAGTTTTGGATCCACTGACTGATGGCATTAAAAACTGAAGATTTTTTGTTGTTGCCAATTGCTCTCACCACAAAAAAGAGAGTGATAACTCCTGGCTGGTAAGTCAGGTTAACTACATAATGCAATACGATACCTTATGTCGGAATCTCAAGACTGGCCGATAATGCTGCGACCCGTATCCCTCGTCATCGTTGGGCCTCCCCTCTGCGTAGAAAGCTGCTAATGCTGCCAGTAAAATGGCCACTGACCACCATTTGGCCATCGCCATTGGTCTTCTCCTGTCAGGAAACACAAAACATAATTAGCCACATCACCCATTTAAAGCAAGGCTATCAATACAGTCCTGGAGATTAGATCTGTGTTTAAATCAATTACAAGGAAATAGACACGTCACCAGGAGATGAAGATTGAGGGAAGATGATGCATTCAGACAATTATAGCAAGGACTTTACCACTTAATGAGACCTAGATTCCACAGCCGAAAGCAAACATATTTATTCATACGAGTATACAAAAGAATTCACTTTCAACTTGTCCTCGGAGAACCGCTCTATTAGTTATCGCGCCACGGCAAAATAAAAGTATGTTAATTGTGGGAAACAAATGTCATGTCTCATTGAATGTCTATCAGACACATTGGTGGCGAGGGATGATATTTTCTAACACTCGCGTTTTTTCAAGAGAAAAATCGAACAGCCTGCTACCCCCAAAAAGGCACAAACAGTATATATATATACTTAACTAAGGTTGATTTCCTCTTCATTTACTCCAAAATGGATTTACTACAATGTGAAATCCGGGTTTGTTTACTTGAATTGAATTTAGGGGAAACAAAAATCTAGTTTTAGGGTCACATGGCAGGATGTTTTATCACAATACAATGATTGCACAATCATCAATTTATTGGAAGAAAACCACGTGTACTTCTGGGGACATAAAATCAACATTATATAATAACACAGCATACTGATGTTTTAACATAAATGAAACGATACATAAATTATAAACCTTGGCAAATATTGATAGTTCTAATTAGTGTCAAGCTAATAAACGTGCAGAGATGAAAGTGGACTTTTCTGAAAATTCCGGAAAAATATATATAA